CCACCTTTGGCTGGCCCCAGAGTAGGGTGGGAATGGAGATTTTGCAATAACCTTCCCCTGCCACACCCACCAAGACACACCCACCAATGCACACCCACAGAACTGTAGAAAAAAAATTGAAATTCAACACTGCACAAGCCAAGGAAAGAGCATCCATCTCCTTATGAGTGATGTCCAGGTATAGTGTTGTGTGGGAATGACTTGAGAAATGGAGGAAGAGATGCTGCTTAGGGAATAGCAATAGCAATAACAGTTGGACTAATAAACTGCATAGAGTGCTTTACAGCCCTTTCTAAGCAGTTTATAGAATCAGCACATTGCCCCCAACAATCTGGGTCCTCATTTGACTGACCTCGGAAGGATGGAAGGCTGAATCAATTTTGAGCCGGTCAGGATTGAAATGCTGAACTGCTGGCAGCCGGCAGCCAGCAGAAGTAGCCTGCAGTAGTGCATTCTAACCACTGCGCCACCACAGAATAATCAGGTAAGAAAAGGCATAGATCAGGGGTGGGTTGCTGCCGGTGTTACTACCGGTTCACAACCGGCGCGCATCAGCTGTGCGCACGAGCACTATTCAATGTAAATTGTTATTCACGCATGCGCAAAACAATTTACAGTGAACTGTGCATATGCAGTCACTCAAATCCAAAATGATGACGGCCCAGCAGCGGTGAGGGAATTGGTTCGAGGGCATGGTAGGCCTGGGTCACTGGGGATTCTGCGACCCAGGCCTGAATTCCACTACCGGTTCTGCCGAAATGGGCCGAAATGGGAACAACCCACCTCTGGCCTAGACGACAACAGCAAACAGACAGAAACTCTGAGAAAGGACTGAAACTTTTCAGTCTGTAAAAGAGACGGCAGGAGATTTGTAACTATCAGACTTACAAGATTCTGTTAATGTACCTTTACAGTAAAGTGGAATTAGTTCACCTGGTCATCTTTCTCTCAGATCTACCTGGGACTGCTGACATCAGGTCTCTTTGACATTCATTAGGATTTGGAAGGCTGCCTTGAGCATTTTGGCAAGAAAAAGCCCAAACTACCCAGGACAAGAGAAAGATGAGTCACTGAAATGTGGGGTTTTTTTTAATTAACTTGAGCTCATTAGAGTTTGTCCTTCAGTTTATTCTCCCTTCTCCCTCTCTAAAACAAAAAATTCTGGGTAGGAAAATGATTTAATACCATTCTGCCTTTGTTGTATTCAGCTGCCACACTGACCACAAACCACACACATTGGGGAGAAATTTATCACAGACCACAAGACATATTTAGTATCCTAGAGCCCTCCTGGCATTCATTTTAGCCTCTCAATCTCTTCTTGTAACTTCCAGATGAAGACCTAGTGAAGTGTTAAAAGTGAATTTTCTAAGGGCCTTCTACAAATCAAGTTCTACCCATGATGTTCACAGATGTACAGAACAGTCTGAACTGTCAGGAACAATTAGAAATCAGGTAGAAATAGGTTTGTGCGCAATTTCAGATCCTCTTCGCTGGAAAAGAATGACTTTTATTTTATTTTTTAAAGAAGTTTTGAGTATTTTCCATTCCTGTAACTCAATTGAATTTATGTCTTGGTCAGAGGAAAAACAAATCCATTTGTATTCCCCCCAAGGGTGGGGGATAAACTATCTGACCTTAAAAAGTAAGCAAAATATTTGCTCCATAGCTCTAGAGAGGGGACAGCTAAACCTTTTGTCCTCGCGTGCCCAAACCCATAATGTAAAGCGTGTGCTACCCCACTTCTATGCCCCTGCACATGCGTGTTCTTTCCCATACTTCCCCCTCTCCCACATATATGCACGTGACACCCCCCCCCTCATATGTCCCATTTTGGGCCTTGCAGGCCTCCCTGAAGCCTCATGGGAACAAAAATGGGCCATGTGGGGGCCCTGCCCCCCCACTTCCCACTGCACCCCTTTTGGGCCAGCAGGCCTCCCTGAAGCCTCCTGGGAACATGTGCGGCAGAGACCCGAAAATCAGCTGGCTGGTGGGAAGCACACAAACATGCATGGTGGAATTAAGTTGGGATGACAGCTCACATGCTCACAGAGAGGACTTTGCATGCCACCTGTGGTACACGTGCCATAGGTTCACCATCGCTGCTCCAGAGTAGAATAATTTATTTATTTCTTTTTTTAGAGAGAGGGTTTCTAAGTGAAGCCAGCCATATTGATGGCAGCCATTTTGCTTTCTCTTGAAATAAACTGCTATCTGTTGGCTCAGCTTTCAGTGGAAGATTCCTTTACATCAAATGTCTGCAGTGTTTTGCTAGGAAACAACCAAAAATAATTATGCAGAGGAAGATGGTTGCAAAGTCATTGGGAACACATCATGTAAGCTCTGCCATTATCATTCTCAAAAGAAGAGAACAGTTGTAGTTCAGGATTGAAGTGTGGAGTCCTTGATGCTCTCTGAGCATGGTTCTTTCCTTGCAGATGTTTCATTACCCAACTAGGTAACCTCATCAGTGCTAGAAGGGAGCACAGTTTGCTCTTTTCTTATATATAACCAGCTTGACCTGTCAGTGTTGGTGGAAGATTTCTTACTGCTCAAACAACAGCCTAATCAAAAAATCATCTAGGTATAAGGCAGGAGACCTTATACCATCTCGGACAAATGATTGTCCAATCTCTTCTTAAAAACCTCCAATGTTGGAGCACACAAAACCTCTGAAGGCAATGGGTGTTGATGTGTTGGAATTGTCCAGAGTAATGTGTCTTAGCTAAGATGTTCTACTGTTCTCCAAAACTCCCCAGATGAATAGAATAGAATGGAATAGAATTCTTTATTGGCCAAGTGTGATTGGAAACATAAGGAATTTGTCTTTAGGGCAGATACTCTCAGTGTACATAAAAAGACAAGATACATTTGTTAAGAATCATAAGGTACAACACTTAATGATAGTCACAGGGTACAAATAAGCAATCAGGAAACAATCAATATCCATATAATACCCACATAAATTGTAAGGATACAAGCAACAAAGTTATAGTCCTGCAGTCACAAGTGGGAGGAGATGGGTGATAGTTTGACAGATAGTTTCATTAAGGAGGAAACCACCAAAAAAATCACATTATTTCACCTTAGATGTTTGTTTTTTCCAACAGTTGATTTGGTGCAGAGCAGAAGTACAATTTTGCAGACATTTTTTTTCCTTCCAGGGAAAATATATAACTTATTTCTCAATTATTCCTAAAGACTACAATGTTAAATATTTATTGCAACTGTGAATGAGACATACCCCATCTCAAAAAAAAATCTTGTTGAATTCCCTTTGGAGAATATTTGACAAAGCTCTCCCTCCTGGGTGCCCCCTTTGCTTTTCTTGGCAAGAAAAATTCAAGCACAACTTTATTTCAAACTGAATGTTTTGAGATCACCCTGGCCCTTTGAAAGGGCAGTGAGCTCAGAACAAAACTGATGGGCTCAAAACTGGTGTTTTGAGGTTCAGGTTGAAAGAAAATGCTTCATCTGTTTTGAAATTTGTTCCAGTGGAAGCCAGCCAATTGTTCCAAAGTGACATTTTGATGGGGCTGTTTTGTTCTGAGCTTGAAATAAGACGCAGGTCCTATTTCATCCACGCACCTCGTGATGGGAGGAGGTTTCCTTGGCTTTGTTCTTTAATCACAGGATAATTTATCAAGCCTGGTCATCAGGATTGCGTCCTAATGAAAGGTAGAGATGCCCTGCTTGTTCTGGTCTGCTGTGTCCAATCCAATACAGTTAGTCCTTGACCTATGACACAAAATTGAGACCAATATTTCTGTGGCTAAGTGAGACAGTTCCGTGAATTTTGCCCCATTTTACGACCTTTCTTGCCACAATGGTTAAGTAAAGTTATGCAGTTGTTGTCAAGGGAATTCTGCTTCCCCATTAACTTTGCTTGTCAGAAGATGGCAAAGGTTGACCACACAACCTTGGTCATGCTGCACTGGCCACAAATGTGAAAAATGTTCATAAATCACTTTTTTTCAGTGCTGTTATACCTTTGGACAGACACTAAACAAACTGCTGTAAGTGTAGGATTACCTGTATGGGGAGCCTTTGGAGGGAGGGAGCCAGTGGTGAGTTCTGGATTCCTGTACTGGTTGGAACAGCCCTGGCGTCACCCACATGGACGTGTGCAGTGCATGCATTCATCATACTTGCCTGCGATGCTTCTGCAAGCATCTGCAACACTCCAGCTGCTCGGCGGAGCATCATGCAGGCGCCGTATGTGCCATGCACATATGCAGAAGTGCCAAAGGCTTAAAGGATAGGTAATGAGCTCGGGCGGGTGGCCCTCCACAGCACCATACCGGAATGGTTCCTGGTGCTCCGAGCAGGCTCCAGTACGCCCGTACTTGGGCGCACCTCCTGCAACCCACTACTGGAGGGAGCGAATGTAATTTGTCTAGTCTACCTCTGTGTGTGTGTGTGTGTGTGTGTGTGTGTGTGTGTGTGTGTGAGAGAGAGAGAGAGAGAGAGAGAGAGAGAGAGAGAAAGAGAAAGAGAAAGAGAGAGAATGAACAGAATGCTTTAACGACATGAAATAATATGCCTTCAAGAGTTGACTTGCAAGCCAGTTGACCGAGAACCAGAGAAAATAAACAAGATAGGGCAACAATGGAAAGGAGAGGGGATGAGGAAGGAAAGGAAGAAAGGATAAAGCAGAGAAAGTAAGGGTGGGGAATTAAGAGTAGAAGAGAGAGTAAGAAAGAGGAGAAGAGAGGAGGAGAGGGGAAAGAGAGGGGGAGAAGAAAGAAGGAAGGAGAGGAGGAAGGAAGGAAGTAGAGAAGGGAAGTTAAGAAGATGGAAGAAGAAAGGTGTTGCAAAACAAGATGGAGGCATGGGGTGGCAAGAAAGTGACACAAACTGTATTATATATGTGTGTAAAATGTATATCTAAGAATGAATTTGAAAGGGAAAAATAAAACAACTTTTTACCAAAAAAAGAGTTGACTTGCAAGCATTCACCTGTGTTCCTTTCCCTCCCCTCCCCCTATTATTTCTTGCAGTACAATGGTTCCCGTCCAAGGGAGGAATGGGAAATGTGGCACCCAACCCTGATAGCAGAAGCCCTCTTTGCCATTTCAAACATTTTAAGCTCCTTGCGTCTCATCTCCCTGTTTACAGCAAACTCTCACCTGGGACCCCTGCAGATCTCCCTGGGACGAATGCTGCTAGACATTCTCAAGTTCCTCTTCATTTATTGCCTGGTGCTGCTAGCTTTCGCCAATGGACTCAACCAGCTTTATTTCTATTATGAGACGAGTGCCTCCGAAGAGCCAAACAATTGCAAAGGGATCCGTTGTGAGAAGCAAAACAATGCCTTTTCCACGTAAGGCTAACTTACCTGGGTTTCCTTCTTGCATCCAGCCCTTGAGTGTTGCTGTTTTTGTCTCTCTGTCTGTCTCTCTGTTTTCCCCCCCCCACTCTCTTGTATAGTCCTGATATCTTGTCACAGCATCTGGAATAGCAAAAAAAAATGCCTTTTTGTGTTCTTGGGTGAATGTCAGTCTCAATTGTCATGCTCTGAGTTATCTCAGATGAACATATTGAACAAGGCAAAGCTGAACTCCAGCCTTTGACAATGACCAAACACCTGAGCATTTCAGTTATTAAATTAAAAAAAAGCAACAGCAGAGCTGTTCTCAAAGAACTGACTGTGCTAGGCTGTTTTTCTGGAGGGCAGCTGAAATTAGATCCTTTAAAAAAACAGAAGCATGCAAAAATAAAATGCCCATCCCTCCAGAATGGATGCAGAAATGCTTACAATCTCAGAGGAAGTTGCCACTTAAGAAACACGGCCTCTGTTTCTTTACTAGGGATCCTGTTCAGGCATGAAATCCTCTTATCTTCGCTACCGGTTTGGTAGTGGGAGTGCATGCTCAGAGCGTGCATGATGACATCAGCGTGGGTGGGCGGAGCCTTGCACTACTGGTTCACCCAAACCGGTGCGAACCGACACAATACCAACTCTGATCCTGTTGTACTAGCTTTTTTCTAGCTCAGCATGTTTGTATATATGCTTTTCTAAAAGCTAGATTTCATCCTATTCCAATGAAAAGATAGCTGTTAAATAAAAATGAAGTTCCTTGTGAGCCAATAACATTTTTCCAAAATGAAAAATAGGAACCTTTCAGAGCCCACCAACTAGGAGAACTCAGCATGGGAGCGTGGAGGCTCACTCTCCGTGTCCGATCTCGCTGCTATGTCAGCCGGACGTTTTTAGGGAGTCAGATTCCTGATGGCTCTGAACCTTCCCGCTTTAAGGCCCACTTCCTTCCTGCTTCCTGCCCCGGGAAGAAAGGGGGCCTTAAAGAAGAGCCAGTCCTCCCTCCATTGGCACACCTTGGGAAATGCATAAACATGTCCTATAACAGGATTGGCACCTTGGCAAGCCGAAGTACTATGCTGCAATAGCATTTTGGTCTCCTGGCTATTGTAACACCATATGGTAATAATAATAATTATAGGTAGAGTAGGATGGGATAGAGTAGGGGAATTGGGATGGGGTGGGAAATGAAAATAAAGATCAGCGCACTTAACTAGCATAAGAATCAAAATTAGAACTAACAGCAATCATGATTAAGTAAAACTCCATGACATCCTTGGACATTTCAGTGAAAAAGTCTGCAAGTAAAAAGCAAGTCACTTTAATAGGCTACCAACAATAACGTCATTTCAAATGTGTGAGCTTTAGATGAATATTTGGGAGGAAACATGAAGAAAACTTTACAAAAAGAAACTGTAGATTTAACACATAGATTAAAGAAACAGGATTTGATTTAAACTCATGGAGCAAGCTTTACATCTCCTGTGATACCATTCCTTTCATTAGAAGCATGATCTTAATGAATTTCCTTACAAGTAGTTTGTAAATGTGAGTCAAAAAAGAGTGATGTAAACTACATCTGGTTTACTTGGTTAATTCCTTAAGACATGGGTTATTAATAGGTTCTGTGAATTTATTAAAAGGAATTAGCAAAAAGTATACCAATGATTCAAGAGATACTGAAGGACAAAGCTGTATTGAATATCGGACATTAGCAAGTCTATCTTGGCAGAATAGCAATAGGACTTATATACTGCTTTATAGTGCTTTACAGCCCTCTCTAAGCGGTTTACAGAGTCAGCATATTGGCCTCAATAATTGGGTTCCTCGTTTTATTGCTCGGAAGAATGGAAGGCAGAGTCGGTGAGAATCGAACTGCTGGTAGTTGGCAGAATTAGCCTGCATTCTAACCACTTGCCACCACAGCTCAGTGATTAGAATGTTATATTGGTTAGAAGGTGGAATCTTAGCTGGGCAGGTAAAAGTATATATTGGTATCTTGAGATAAAGTCATTAAAAATGGTAAGAAGCTAGGACAGAGATTTTAGGTAGGTCCTTAACATTAGTTGATACTTTCTTTGACCTATTGATATCCTGTAATAGATGGTAAAAATACTGTAGCTCTTTAGTTCCGTTTCCAGATAGGTTATCCATGTGGCATTCTCTCTTTCTTTCTCTCCCCTGTGCACACAGGCACAGACACTGAGAGAGACAGACAGACACAAACACAAAGAAGTATTAGGGAAGAGAAGGGGGAAGGGAGAGAGGGAGGGAGGGAGAAAGGAAGGAAGGAAGGAAGGAAGGAAGGAAGGAAGGAAGGAAGGAAGGAAAGGAAAGGAGGAGGAAAGAAGGAAGGGAAAAAAGGAAAA